GGGTTAAACGGTCACAAAGGCCTGATTGGTTCAGTGATGAAATCATGATCTAATTACAGCGAAACAAACATCCAGAACTTCCTTCATACTTGAGATAATCACATGATTTTGGTGTTTTTTAATGTTCTTATTAAATCTACTGTCAGATTTGATATTTGTGTGAGATAAAACTTGTATCCCTACTACATCTACTTCAAATTTTAATCAAAATTTTAATCAAAGATGATTGGTTTAATCTAATTCTTGMTGTTTTCAGAATAATTTGTCTTTTATTCCTGTTATTTTCCAGTCCAGGTTCYGACTGAACTGATTCAGTGTGACGCTTCAGACTGACTGGGTGGTTTAATCTCAGTGTGAATTTGTTGTGAGGAAGAAGAGCGCAGCTTCCTCCTCTGACAGCTCTCTGCAGGAAGTCACGGCAGTGATTTCAGGAACTCTTAACATCGCTGCATGAACACTTGTTCTGGGTTTACCTCAGGGACGTCTGCAGAAGGAAACCAAAACAAACCGATCGCTCTGGTTTTCAGCGAACAGCCTGACAAACTGCAAGTCTGAGGAGGGAGAGGTCTGTAGCAGAGGTAATGTTCTCCTCAGCTGCAGGAGCAGGAGGCGACTGCTCACAGCTGCAGCTCGTCTGCAGGAGCACAACATCTGGGTTTCTTATTAAAGTGTTTACATCTGCTGAGGGCGTGGCCTTTCTATAAATACACAGGTCTAAAAACTGTATGAAAACGTAAACAAACTTTTTGAATTTGACATCAACAGTTGCTCCGGTGACTCTGCCAGAACCGGGCTCCAGCAGCAGCCCGGATCAGAGACCCGCCTCACCTCGGTCTCCCTCAGTCGGGCCTCCAGGGCGTCGCGGGGCCCCTGGGTGTTGTCGATGGCGTTCAGCCTCTTCTCCACATCCTCCATCCAGGCGCGGGCCGCCTCCACGCTGTCTGAGAACTCCTGCTGAGTCATGGCGGGGCCAGAACCTGCAGCGGAGTGAGGACAGAGGCTCAGAGGTTACTGTGATCAGAGAGTCGTGGGTCTCTCAGGGCTCTGCTGTCATTAAACGAGTAAAAACATGAAAACCTTCGAAGTGAAAACGCTGCGTTCCTCTTTTTGTTCACGGATCAATAAAAAACAAAAATCAAAGTAATGAAAAAATGCTCTGAATTCCATGTGCGACCTTAGAGGGTAGCAGGAACTCTGTGTTCCCTCTGGAGACGCAGTTAAACTGAAAAGTTAAACTGCAGAGACACGGAGAGGGGCGGGGCCTAACGCTTCTTCTTCTTCCTCTTGGAGGGAGACGAACGTGGAGCTGTGTTTTCCTGGATGACTCACTCTGCCCACCGCAGCATTCTTTCTGCTCGTGTTGCCTCCAGCTCTGCAGATTTTCTGTTTTCTCTGAGACTCTGAGCGTGCTCAGATGTTTCTGTCAGGCTGAGTTCAGCTTTTCTTTCTGCTTCTTTAGGTCCACATGCAGCTGCAGACCAAACAAACCATTCATTTAACCCTGTGTTGTCTAATCACTGCTGCACACAGTCTGTATGAATCGTCACATATTTCACATCATGTTTGGAAAACAATGTTTTTAGTCAAACGAAGCGGAAAAAGATCAGGATTATCCTGCAGGCTTTTGATCAACTGATCAAAAGMCAGAATTATTATTGTGTGAAAGTTAATTTTATTTAAAAATATTCACAATAAAATTACAATTAAATCTCTACAGTTCTTCTGAAACATTAATCTCTTTGAAACTTGCTTTAGCTACAGGTTTTGTTTTATCTTCTTGTGCTACTTTAAGATTTTAGCTGCTGTTTACTACCCTTAGCTAGACTTTTGTAGCTCTTAATTAGCCTTTCTTTACTTTTACTTTCTGGCAATCATTCTGCTACTTTTAGCTTTTTAAACACAGCTATGCTACTTTTAGCTACAGTTTTCCCACTTTAACATTCAGCTATGCTTTTGCTATATTTCGCTAATGTTTTGTGCTTTTCTAGTAGCTTTTGACTACTTTTAGATTCAAGCCAGTCCCTTAATACTTTTGGCTACAATTTTCCCACATTAGCTTGTACCAAGCCTTTGGCTACTTTTAGTTTTTAGAAATCATCTGCTACTTTTAGCTATGCTTTTGCTACATTTTGCTAGTGTTCGTTCTTTTTTTAGTAAACCTTACACCACATTTAGCTTTAGATACAATTTTCTCACATTTAGGTATTAGCAAGTCTTTTAATACCTTTAGCCACGAAGCCTTAAAGCCTTATGCTTGTGATACTTTTAGCTGCTGTTCTTATAATTTTAGATCACTTTAAATTATAGCTTTAAGCTAATCTTTTAAAATTGTCAGCTAGCCTTTTGCTACCTTTAACCACTTAGCCATGTCCTTGTGATACATTTAGCTATGTTCTGATACTTTTATCAAACCTTTAGTTATTTTTAGCTTTAAGTTAGTCTTTTGCCACTTTTATTTTATAGTTAGCATTTTGATACACTTAGCTAACCCCTTGCTACCTTTACCCAGCTATCCTTTTGCTACTTTAGTTAGCTTTTTGCTACATGTAGTTAATGTTTTACTATGTTTAGCCATCATCTAGCTTTTTGCATGAACTTTAACTAGCATTCTGCCACTTTATCATTTAGCCAGTGATACTTTTATTTATTTCATTTTAATTTATTTTATTTACTTTGTTACATTCTGCTTTTAGCTAACATTTTGTTCTTTTTATCTTTTAGCTAGTTCTGTTTGTTTGTAAAACTCATCCTGTCTCCTGTTTAAACTGAGCATGCTCAGACTGCTGCAGGTAAGATATTGACACTTTTAAAACCTGAAGTGTGACTTTAAGATGCTTCAGGTGTTTCACACACCTGGGCAGAGAGTTTATCCAGGTTTCAGTCTGAGGGAGAGTATTTACCTGACGTCAGGAGGTCTAAACTTCAGGTGGATCATCAGATTAATTCTGATCTTCTGCAGAGATCTCGTCATGCCCGACCCGGAAGTACAGCAACAAAATACTTTAATTTTGGCGGTTAACTGCCAGAGAGTGACGCCGTCGCTTACGTCAGGTGTGTTTTGATGCAACGCAGAAACAGAATCTAAGCAGGAGATGAGCGACATGTAAACACGGAACACCTGTTCAGTGAAACACAGCTGTGATTCAACCGGAAACAGATTATCTGACAGWTGATTCGGAGGTGACCGACAAAAAGACACCGCGAACTGCTGCCGGAAATCTGTCCGTAAACAGCTCCGATAAATAAACAAACAACAAGCAAACAGCGTCTCTGTCTGTAAACAACTCACAAACAAACAAACACTTACAGCTTCTGGTTCGGGGCGGAACTCCGTGTTTCTTCAAGACGGAAAAGTTCCTGCAGACCGGAAGTGGAGCGCCGAGCTGCGTTCACGGACCGCTCGGAAACCACAGACACGCTGCAGCTGTCAGCGGAGGGAAGCGTAGTGACATTTATTAAAAATAAAAATAAAAGGTAGCGATGAGGAGAATCATATTCTCTGCAACACGGAGAGAATAAAAAACTAAATGATATTATAGTAAAAAAAATAAAGAACATTTTAACAAGTTAACAGAACAACCCGTCGACAGTAAAATCATAACATTTTTTTATTTAATTCCGCCTATATGTGTATATAAGTATATTTCAGATGTATTTTTGTTTTATTATTCTGTTTATTCACTGTGTGCACTGAATTGTTTTGTTATACTTAGTGTTCTTGTTTTATAGTTGATTATTTAGGTCTTAACTATTATATCTGTAGATTTATTACCTTCATGAGAATTAGTTGTTTATTCTAACACTATTTCAAAAAACTTAAAGAGACCATCTGTTCTCATAAATTATTAATTTAAACCATTATTTAACTGTTTGGTTTAAAATTTGCACTAAAGCTTTATTTTTATTTAAACATAGTTGTGATACCTGAGAAACTGATCCTGCAGATCCAGTTTTTAGCAGAAACACAGATCATTTGAAATTAAATGGCTCTGCCGTGTGCTTCTCTATAAAACCAAATTCGAATACCTGAAACAGGCGAGTCTGGTTTCAGCAGCTTTCTGTTGTAAACTGAGCGATGTGGAAGTGATGAGTCAGAGTTTGTTGTTCATGATCACATTTATTACACCTCAGTAAACACAGAAACATTCTTTAGTGTCAGATTAAACCAACAGTCCACACAGAAACACAGATTATCAGCTTCATGTTTAACATCGGATCCTACTATCTCCTCTGAGCTCTTTGTTTCAGATCATCTCTGATTTCTGACCAGCTGAGAACGTTTAGAGGATCTTCTACCTGCAGAGAGAAGATCCAGACTTGACTGTGAGACGTTCAATGACTTCTCTGTTTGGTGTAAAACGCATCTCAGGCAAAATGAGGACGCCCTGCAAGCAGCCCGGCTCCAAAGCCTGGACGATAAAAGGTGAGGTGGAGCTGCAGACAGACAGATGTGGAGCTGCAGACAGACAGATGTGGAGCTGCAGACAGACAGATGTGGAGCTGCAGACAGACAGACAGATGTGGAGCTGCAGACAGACAGATGTGGAGCTGCAGACAGACAGATGTGGAGC